CTTCTTCTCATTAGAACTATTGATTTTTTTCGTAAACGTTTTTTCGTAGCTTTTTAAAAATGTTTTTTGTAAAATGATCTTTATGTTTTATATTTGAAGTCTAGTTGTCTGTAAGTGTAAGGTTAAGGGATAGATTGAGGGTCAGAGGGGAACTGGCTCTTGCTTTCTCTCTTTGCACAGAGGTCACGTTTACTTGGTTTTGTTTAGTTTTCTTTCTTTGTTTTGTTTTGTTTTTGTTTTTGTTCAGTACATTGTTTTTGTTTTCTTCCTGTTTTCTTTTCGTTTTGGACTGGCTTTGACGTGAGTGCATTCTTCCATATGAGTCTTTCTTGAGTTTCTTTTTTCAGATGGTAGAGTAGACTAACACTAACACTAACACAAATCACGGTCACGTGTAGATGAGACTGCGTGCACAACGTTCCGGCTATTTCTTCTGAAGTGACCACCAAAAACTGTTGTCTCCATTAGGGAGTGGGAATGAGGGATATGCCCGCCTCGTGACTCATTTGGAGCAGAGGAAGTTAGGATCTAAACTATTTTGCTAACCTTTAACCTTCTTGTAATGTTCTGGAATGTATGTTGTGTTCTCTGTTCTGTTGTGACTTCTCTGTCTCTATCTCTGTCCTTAAGTATCTTCTATCCTGATCTCAACTTTAACCGGTTACAAACCATATGGCGTCAGTTTGTTAGGAACGGGCATGGGACAAAACAATCTATTTCAAGAAAAGATTGAAGGCAAAAGTCAAAAACATTTTTAATGCAGCCTACTTCGGTGTGACGGTCTCAAGCCCGTGAAATGCGGAGAGAAAATGTTTTAAAGCTGAAAACGATAAGATTTCTGAGAATTCCAGGCACCCCTCGGCTGACCAGAACGAATTTTTAAAATTCAATATTGTCTCAGTCGCATCTTCTTTTTTTTTCTTTTTTTTCTTCTTACAGATTTTACCCTCTTTGTATTTTATTCTTTGATAAGTCGTTCAGGCCATCTGTGTATTTTGTTCTTTGCCTTCCTCTGCTCTTCTTTCCCGCCATCTTCCCACACAGCAGCAGATTCTCCCGCTCATTTGATCTGCTCATGTGGCCAAAGAATCTTAACTTTTTCTGATGGTTCTGATTATTGATCTTTTACAACCTGCCATTTGGAGCACTTCCCTCTATCTATTTTTCCCCCGTTCTGTCCATGAGTTTTGAGTAAAGAGAAGCACATCGACACAATGATGGTCATTTAGTGCTGGGTAAGACAAACAGACAGAAACAACAGAGGGGAAAGTAAAGAAGTAGGACCTACCAGTGGCGCCCTCCAACCACCCACTCTGTCCATGAGATTCTGACTATTCTCTTGAAATGTCACATTCCAGCGACCCCCCAGTCATCTCTCTGTGTCTTTGTTTAGAGACCTGCTCTTGCATCCAAACAAAAAGATTGACCGTACGTACCCTTTCGGGGTTCTTATTTTTATGTACGCTGTAATGTTTTTATTTAAAAGGATAGTTTCAACTTGCCGAAAGTTTTCTTAAGATATTGCAATCTGTTTCTCTTTATCTTTGTATCCCTTTTGCATGTGGTGTAATTACGCAACCTAGGTACATGTATTTTAAGTTGTTAACTGTTTTATTCTTTTGTTCCTACATGTGTTAAGCTTACTGCATACTATCACGTTTTGATATCACCATACATTTCGTTTTCTAGGCGTTCTGTAGTAGGCCTTTTTCTTCGCTTTTTCCTGTCACTCTAGTTAGAATCTCTGGAAGCTTAGAGTCAGAATCAGCTATCAAGACTGTGTCATCAACGTACCGTAGGTTGGTAATATTGTTACCGCCTACCTTGATTCTTTGTATATCACTGATGTTACGCAGTTTCATTTCGCCGTATAAATCAAGGAGATCTGGAGATAAGACACATCCTTGTCGTTCTTCTCTACAGATTGTCAGGTATTCACTGAGCTTGTTCTCGACCCTGACTGCTACCTGTTGTTCCCAAAAGAGGCTTCTCAGGATTCTTAGGTCTTTTCCATCTATGTTCGGGTCTGTTAGGATGTTGAATCGTTCTGTATTTCTCACTTTGACAAATGCTTTAGAGTAATTGAAGAAGTAGAGGCAAAGGTCTTTCTAGACCTCAGTTCATCTTTCCATGAGCATCTTACAGCGAAGAGGGCATTTCGGGTACCGTTATTTGCAGTAAACCGAAATTCATCATCATCAATGCCTTTCACCCCTGGCAGGGTATAGGCCACATACAAGCTCCTTCCATTTATCTCTGTCCTGGGCCATCCTCCCTAGCTCGTTCCAAGTGAGTTTCATCTCTCTCATGTCCCTTTCCACACATCTCCTCCATGTTTCCCGTGGCCTACCCCTGCCTCGTGCTCCCTGTGGGTTCCACTGCAGTGATTGTCTTGGGATGTATTCGCTGGGCTTTCTGACGGGGTGGCCAATCCATCGCCACTTTCTTAGTCCTATTTCTACTTCTATTATATCCTTTTGTTCTGTCCTTTCCCTCAGCTCTTCATGTCTTATTCTATCCTGCAACTTAATTCTTAGGACACTCCTCATACACCTGTTGATGAAAGTCTGGACTTTATTCAGCACTGTTTTTGTTGTCTTCAAAGTTTTGCAGCCGTAGAGGAGCACAGACTTGACATTGGAATTAAAGAGTCGAATCTTGGTGTGCAGTGAGATGAAACCAAAACTGCGTTTCAGAAATTTCAGGACTGTGCTGCTCACATTCTGTTGTTCCAGCTTAAATTTTTTTTGGGGGTAATGCTATAAATATCGACTTCTTCAGATTTCTGGTATCTCTCCGGTGCTGTATATGGTGTAAAGTAATATTCTCACTTCTTTGATTCACACCCTTTCTAGTGCAGTGGTGTTTTCAATGAATAATATTGAGGCAGCGTGGTGGAATCAGGGTTTCGTCAAATTAATGCAAGTGAAAAAACTTTCATTTTTCCGCAGGTTTGTGAATTTTTATCAAATTTGCAATCATTTGTAAATTAATAATAACCTGTAGTTGCAATCAATTGTAAATTAATAATAACATGTAGTTACAATCAGTATGGATTGTACATCATAATCTTCACTGTTCATGTAACTGGAAAAAATAATTTTAAAAAGAATATACAAATAAATAAATAAATACATAAATAAATAAATGAATAAATAAATAAATAAATAAATAAATAAATAAATAGATAAATAAATAAATAAATAAATAAATAAATAAATAAATCAGCCAATCAATCAATCAATCAATCAATCAATTAACCAATCATTCAAACAATCAATCAATCAATCACTATAATAATATGCATATAATGCCAGGGCAAATTATTTTAAAAATTGTCAAAGTTTCTTCTTCTTCCTCGTTCTCGATTACAGAAGCTAGACAGTCAGTCCGATGTCGCGCACATCTGTGCAGTTCGCTTCAAATCTGAGAGACTGCCAAGATTGTTTAAGTGAAAGTATTTTTAACAACAGCAACTCTTTTGTCTTTAACTTTGTACAAAAAGCAGAAACATTTAGGTAAAAGCAAACTTTAACTCTTCATTCAGAACTATAGTGCGGTCAAAAATTCGTGGCACAACTTTTCTTCAAATATCTCTTTAACGGGTGAATCAATCTCATCCATACTTTGCACAGCAATTTGTATCAATTTGTCTTAACTCAATCATATTTTCCCACAACAATTGAGGTTAAGTTAAAAAGCTTTTCTTCATTAATTAATATTAAATACTATGAAATCTCCTTCACGCGGAAAACGAAGTTGCTCACAGCACTTCCCACTTCTCACACACATTTTGCGTACGCATGACTTAAGCCACAGCTCACCAAGGACACTTTTTAGTGGTAAAACTAGTTACAAGAAATTAATTTCATAGGGAAAACTTTTTTTGCCCTGAAAGTTCTCAAAACACGCGTTCAATAAAGACAATATAGCGATTAGAAAGAAAAAAACTGACGGGCTCGGTTTTAAAAGCAATATTGTCCCAGCTGTAAACCTTTTAAAATCAGTAGAAACCACCAACTGGGATTTTTTATTTGTATCTAAAAAGGAATTTTCTTTTAAAAAGAGCTAACAGGTGTTTACAAAAATATGGATCTCTTTAGACAAATTGATAAAAGTCACAGTACAAAAGCTGGAGAGTTAAAGTTCAATAGTTGAGGAGATATTTGACGATAAGTTGCGCCACGAATGTTTGACCGCACTAGTAAGCACCAAGGTTTCCTGTCTCCATAGGGTCGCCATGACGTCGTGCTCGAAGGATAGAGTTAATCTATTTTTAGAAAGG